GAGTTTCGAGTTTCACACAATAATCAGGCAATCGTGAAACTGTGCCTTTGGAAGGGCATATATATTCTGCGTGGATGTTTATTTTCCTTGGTTAGTAATCTCTTGCACTAGTGTTGCTAAATAAACATAGCGAGGGACTATCTTCACTGAATCGTTTAGTGCTCACACGAGCCTCTGTTTCATAGAAGTTTTGATGACCTGTTTTATTTAACTACAGTCGAACCTTTAAATGCGACAACTTCTCGTAAGCGACCACCTATCGAAAACACCAATTCTTTTCGAGTCAAAGAACTGTAGTTAGTCTCTTAAACGTCTACCTCCTGTAGGTTTCTATGTTCGCTTTGTGTTCGTACTATGCTACCAAGACCACTAAGAATAAACAAAGAACTTTCGTAACAACTTGAAACTGCGCATATCGTAACTTAGAAATTACATGCAATCAGTAATAAGATAATTATTATCTTCCATAGAGTGGATGTGTCCGGAGATCTTCTCGGAAGAGACCCCCTGTGTAAGCGACTCTTCGCTTTATCGGAGGTTCGTCTGTTTGCCTTTTACAGGCTTTGTTCTTATTAAAGACATGTTAAGCTACAGTTTCCAAGGATGTATTCAGTCTTTAGACACTTCTGTACTTACATTTCCATCAATTTGCGCCATTCCACTCACATGGATTGGTCAGCGGTTTCTACCATTACGCGTAGCTACCTCATATATGATTCCTATAGTGTACCGAAATGTGTACTGAGAAATAGATTCTTATAGTGTACCGAGGTGCTTGTCTTACTTGTGTGTGTTGGGTTGCTTGACTGTCTTGGCCTACTTCAGTTACTTGGTGTGCTTAAGTGTCTTGGCTTACTTGTGTGTCTTGGCCTACTTCAGTTACTTGGCGTGCTTGAGGTACTTGGCGTACTTGAGGTACTTGGCTTACTTTTGTGTCTTGGGTTGCTTGAGAGTCTTGGCCTACTTTAGTTACTTGGCGTTCTTCAGGTACTCTTTGTCGGAAATTACTTCCGGTGTACCACAAGGCTCCATCCTTGGCCCACTGTTTTTTGTAATTTTCATCAATGATTTTCTAGATGTAGTCTGCTCTGATAATACCATTGTACTGTATGCAGACGATAGTAAGATGTTTAGAGTAATTGACTGTGATGAAGATCTGATCTACTTTCAAGAGGACCTAGACAAACTCCATCACTGGAGCCAACGTAATCAGATGGCCCTCAACACTAATAGTAGAAGATCATGAGAATCACTAGGAAACAAGTACCCTTTACTAACAGTGTGCAAATGAATGATACCATTCTTGAGGAGGTAAAAGAATTTAAGGATAGACGGAACATTGACTGATTGCAGTTTATCCTGAAACTCTCGTACTGACATGATTACTGCTAAGGCAAACAGAATGCTGGGCCTAATAAAAAGAACGTGTAAGGATCTCAAGGATACAGCCACATTAAAAACCTGGTATTGTTCCCTCGTCAGATCTAATTTGGAGTACTGTTCGGTTGTCTGGTCTCCTTTCACAAAGAGAAACATAGACAAACTTGAAAGAATAAAATCCAATGATCAATATGATATTCGTTTAAGTAAGCTCAAGTTGTTAACCCTTGAACAAAGACGTTTCTTATTTGGTGTCACTTTCTTGTTTAAGGCCCTCAGTGGCTATATGAATGGGTACTTTTCTCCATTTTTGGATTTTTATTTTCGAGAGGATCACTACTCGTTTCGACACTTTGATAACAGATCATTAAAGAAGAGATTTGCCAGGACAACTGTACTTAAAAACAGTTTCTTTCATAGGATAGTAGATAGATGGGACATTCTGCCGTTTGAGATCCGCTCTGCTTCAAATGTCTGCATTTTTAAATCTAAAGTTATGAAATTTTTATTGAAATGTAAATAATATATATTAGCTTATATATTTTAAGTAAAGTTATTGCTACAGGTAGTATTTTATATAAGGTGATTTGTTTTTATATGGGGTCGCTGTAACTCTTTTACAAATCGTCCTTATGGCCTTTTTTATCTATGTTATGTCCATCACTAATTTTATTTATTGCCATTAAATTGTTATAAATAAATATGTGCGTGATACATATGCGGTATGTCAGGATATTTGAAGAATGTCACGAAACCAGTCACACAAGCACTTCGTTTTTTCCTGTTCAGTACTCAGTTGAAATAAAGTCGACGAAATGGCATTAAAACTGGTTTGAAGATACAGAGCGTTAGATGGAATAAAGCCAAGAAGGTTAGCTTTACAAGTTACGTTATATTTTCCGTAATCATGGTTTTTTTTCCTCGACGTAGTTTTAAAAGGTATTCGAATGTTTGAACTATTTAGTTCAAATCACATGTAATGCTACTTGAGTTAACTAAGTGGCTACTAAGTACAGATAGAGAAACAAATAAGCTTCATTTTGAAAAAAGGTTTGCATTTATTTGCCTTCAGATAGTACACACAAGTAAGGCTGCAAAAGTCTCTTCTCTATTGAGGTCCTTTTCTGAAGAACCCTGGAAACGAGGTTGGATACCTCATGAGGTTTATACCACGTAGTATTCGCAACCCCTTGACTCGCTGGGAATATTCAGAAAATAGGAATTGTGTTTTAAGGCGTTGCAATTTTTCTACTCTTTATAGTCTGTTCAGCTGATTTGGATATGCGTTGTGCGGGTCGTTCTCCCACAGCGTCAAACGAGAAAACGGTGGGGTAGGGGTGAGGGGAAGAACTGAGGCAGGGAGAAAATACCTCCTGCATTCAACCCCATGGGATTTTTGAAACTCCGTTCGCCAGCTGACAGAGCAAGTGGTGTTCCTGATTTACCCACAAAATGTAAACCAGACAAACGTCTTTAAAGTACGAGTTCCTGTTCAAAGTTGTGAATACACCTTTCATCAACAGGACCACTTAGAACTGAGAGAGTGAAATGATGAGCTCACTTTAAGTTTAGCTTTCATGTCTACTCAAGTATAACACAGTGGCGGATCCCGTTATTTTAGACCAAAGCGAAGCTCGAAGGGCCATTTTATTATGGCCAAAAAATTTTTTTAGACCGTTACCCCCCTTATCTCAGCGTCTGGATGACCGCCCCCGGGCGAGGGAGAAAATTAAAAAATTACCGGTCTCTCGATCGGGCACTTATCTGCTTGTAGCCGTTGTAGTATAGTGTGCTGTAAAGCAGGCAAAATATTCTAACATTTTGTTTTTGGCTTTTTCATTTATAGTGAACTCTAGTGTAAAGGTTTCTCTTTTACACGAAACAATGAGATCTTCTGTTTTGCTTTTTCTGTTCCGCTGTAGAGAGACAGGAAGACAGGTTTTACGAACAACAAATCAATTCCAACAGTAACCGATGAAAAGCAGCAAGGTGAAGGGAGAGACGAGGCTGGTGTTAAGGTGAGACACAAACTGAATTTTATTTTGTCCATGTTTGCTTATGTAACTTTGCATTATCAGTAAAGTTTGTTTTGCCCTGAACTTTTGTATTTGCCGTGACACTGAGTTGTGGGCCATCGTAGACGGTAGAATAATACAGTCGAACCTCGTCAGTAGTGGGCTTATACAAGAGGTGGTCGTTTAAGAGGGTCGCGGGGACCAAAAAGGGCTTTACCAGGAACGGGTCGAAAACGATATGCAATTTCCGAGTTGAAAGTGAGTGCAGTGTGGTCGCCAACAAGGGGCTCAAAACATTGAAAAATTAAACTTAAGGTTCCAATTATGGTCCATTTACGCCGCCAGGAGCCCATGACCAGTGTTTTTACTGTCCTGATTTCAGGTTCAAGAAGTAGTGGATGAGTTGTGCATTCTTTTGCAAGAGAACGCACTGACCAAGAAGAACCAAGAACAGCGCTGAAGATACTTTCTTCAGCATTTACAGAAATACAACATGATTCAGCGTGGATATGACTATCGCCACAAACCTTGTACCCAATAAAAATTCAATTTCATTTTCCCTGTGGGAACACCACAGGGGGGTGATGGGAAGGACGAAAACGGAAGTGAAAGTTTCCCCTCTTTCCTCCTTCCCATCACTCATGGCGCTCCCCTTGATCGCGAAAACGATAGCACAGTGGGCTGTAGGACATCTAAAAATTGATGCAGATTGTTGTCATAGTATATATACAGACTCGACATTGTATTGATAAGGTTTAAAATCTTTCTATTCGCTCAGTGTAACGTACATAAATATTTGAAGATAAAAAGATTACCCTGGATTACACGTTGAATTACAAACTAATACAGATGATTAAATTTGATTTTGCGCATGAAAGCTGATGAATCATTTCGTATTCCTTCTTATTCTCAAGAAACTATATTTTCTAGTCTCACTGTTCCTTATGTAAAACATTATTCCTTTATAAACCCTTCCACCTCCAACATTTCTGAGAATGATTAAAAACCCTGAATTTTATTTTGAAAAAATACTGGATAAGAAGCACAACTACCTAAAGGCACAACTGAAGAGGTTTAATTTGAATTGTAACACCACAGGATTTCATCCAGACTAAAAATGTTGGAACTTCGTACTATCTAAATAGCACCATGTGAAAGTACTGCCAAAGAGTTTTCACTTCAATGGTCACACTAAGGGTTTCATGTACAAACTCAAAACTTTGTTGCGTGTTTCTGCGACTGATTTTGGAAGTGAAAGGGTTATCAAGTCATGCTTATTCTTTCAGTCCAGTCACATGAATTCCAGTTCTAAGTCACATTCATCGTTGACTGTTCATGGCTTCCCAGACTGCTTCTTGGAAAACACGAGCCTTCCTCAGCCAAACCATACCCTCAATATGCAAAGTTACCCCGTCTGTTTGTTATCCCCAGTAGGAACTTCCTCAATGAATTGCTGCTCTTATACCCCATAATTTTTCTTTCATTCATTAACATTGCGATGTCACTTCAATGCACTCCGTGCGTTGTGCCTCTAATGCAATCTCTACGTTGTTGTTCCTTCCCTCCATCCGTGCCACGTGATTAGAACTACAGTGGAATCCAGTGCTATACAGAGAATTGGAATTCCTTTGAACGTTCTTTTCGCTTTAAACGTGTCCTTACTGCGAATTTCCTGATCTCATCTACAATAAACACGGACGAAGCGACTGATATCAATAACAAAATGTCCGTACAATACAGAGCTTCGGTTTGAAAAACAGCTTGAAGCGGAGGAAAATAAATAACGAGCATCTGTCCCATGAGAGAGCCGCCTACAGCATACAGGAACATACGGTTTGTGAAGAAACCCACTTGAAAGATAGATTTAACCTGAGAGACAAGACATTCACAAGGATTTTTAAATAATTGTGAGTAGTCGATGCACAAACAAATGTGTCAAAACATGATTACGTTGCACGTCGTTGTTGTCGTCGTTGCAAGAGGGCTGTTTACATGAGTTAAGCTGGCCCGCTTTCCCGCCTGGCTCGGCTTATGCCTTGTTTTTGGCGTTGTGTTTATGAGAAAAGGCAAGCTGGCCCGATAGCCCAGATCTTGATTACTCGAGCCGAAATCCCAGCACGCTGGTCAGCCTGCTTTCTCATATAAACAAGATGACAGTTTTAAAGCTAATAAGGCATCACGCGCCAGCGGAGCCCGGTACGGCGGGTTAGCCTGGATCGCCTCATATAAGGAGGCGCTAAAACTTCCCATCAAAGGCCTCGAGATCCCCGGGGGGGAGGCACTCCCTCAATTGGCCCAAACGAGTATTTGCCGCTGAACAAGGTATAGTTTGAAGGGTGCGATTTTTGCATTGAATAGGGTCAGGGTTCGAAAGCCTCGCCGGCACACATCTACCCAAAGTTCCCGTGAGTTCGCCCGCCCTCGCCCCCCCTTCCTCTCGGTATCTAAATACACTAGAACCGTGATAGAACTAAGATTCAAGTGACTGGCGAGATATGTTCACTATAACGTAGTTTTGTTATACCGATGTTCTTTTCCATACATTTTACTTCAACTAAGCTGAAGTATACAGCTATTTCGAGAAAGGTTGTCGGAAAAAATGTGCACGCGACAATCCCGAAGGGCAATATGGGATACGATCAGAAGCAATACCCTGTTCTTGACACTGTAGCTGTCTAAGCTACTTTTGTTGCTTTCCTTTAACGCTCGCAAACATACGTCCACGGCCTCTCGTGCCATTCTTTCAAATTTCTTGGACGAACACTGAATTTAAAGCCACCCACAATACCTTCCGGGATTGTCGGTACACTTTTTCCGACAACCTGCTGTATATCTATCTTTTTACGCAGGATTCCGTTGCATCCAGATTAAATTGAACACCGTTTGTATCTGCGGATCAGGGTAGAGCGACAAGCTGGTTACGTGTTGATGCGTTTGTGCTAAAGGGGATCATGGGCTTAAAAAAGGCCGCTTAAAACTGTTGACCAAAGAAGAAAATTTACTGACCTGTGATCGACAGCTAAGCGCGTTGAACATATCAAAGAACACAAAACACGTAAATGTCATAGTAGTGTCACGTGGAGTTATAATGTTGTCTCTCATCTGCAAAAAAAAAAAACAAACACAAAGCATTTTTCTTCGATTAACCATTTGCAGCAGTGGAATATCCCGAGGGAGGGGCTACTTGGGTCAATTTTTGCTGAGTATGCTCCGCTGGCCTCTCAGAACCCCTACCCCATTGTAGTGTATTTGGTGGCCCGTTATAGACCCCATCTTAGTCATTTTTGGGCAAATTTTATTGACATTTTTTTATAAAGCCTTTTAAGTACGTCAGTCATCCTACAATGAGGCCACAATTTTTTTTTAAATTCTCACTATAAAAAAACGTCCCGAAAGTGCATGACTCCATTCTAATTCCTCTTTTGAAAATCTCCCTTTTCATAGTCAATCCAGGCGTGAAAATGTGACCCCATCCAGCGGTACATCCCCAATAGCCTATTGCACGGAAGTACCCTTCCCGGGATATCAGCACCTTATATCGTACGTCCTTACCTCCCTCCAGAAGACCCACAATGTACCAGTGACGATTAAGCTGGCGGCTAGGAGAACATTCAGAATAAGGACCCTGGTAATCATCGGGTTCTTTACGTTTCGCGGGGGTTTATTCATGACGTCACGGTCCACCGGTTCGACACCGAGACTGCAAAAAAGGAGATGGACCACAGTTAAATGCGATGCTGTGAGTCTTCCTCCCTCACTCGTTGAAATATAGTTTCATACACGAGCAGGCCTTTGTGTGGTAGGCGTAGGAGAGAGATAGAGGGGGGGGGGGGAGGCGAGGTAGCCATTCCCCGTTTTTCCTTTGGCGTTTTTTTTACCCCCTCCTGCCCTCTCTTTTTTCGCCTGCCACTCATGCTAGATAAAACACGAACAAAGGGTTTACATGATACGGCTTCAAAAACCTGAAGATCTATTCATTTTTCGAATGCTCCCAGGCTGGGGCTTTTGTTTATTTGTTTTCAAGAAAATCACTGCTCAATGAGATTACAAGGTAAGACTGCTCTGTAAGAACTTTTTTTATCGTGTTTATCTTACCTCTGGGCAGGAGGCCCATCCATTATAATGTTGATCCATAAAATCTGCATGGCGTTTAGCGGGTTAGGAAGCTTCAAGAACGTGGAGATACTGATAAGTGATATTGCTGCAATGCTCCTAAACAACATACAACAAAGAAGATCGTGAGTAACCTGAAGATTCCATGTCAACTTTTCAAGACAATTTTACTGGCTTGGAGATCAGCCACAAATGTAGCATGAGAAAACAGCCGACATTTTGCGACCCAACCAACAGTTTCCCCGCGAAATGACACCTGAGAAAAGACCGCAGAAATTCCATACTGAGGATGCTTCACTACCCAGTTGTGGGTAGTGCTTCTGATTCGTTAAAGCAAATGTGCAACCAATCAGAAGCACTATCCAGATCAGGGTAGTGATGCGTCATCAGTATGGAATTTCTGTGCTCGTTTCTCACACGTCATTTCCTAGGGAACCGGTTGGTGTTGTCTTTCTCTGGTAAAAACTGTTTGTACTGTTGGCATGCAGTGAGCTCAGGACTCAGTAAGAAACAGAAATTCACTTCATATGGACGCATTCATCTTGACACCATTCCCAACCTCACACCAAGGTTTCTCTCCTACTCGTCCTTGTGAAGTGGAGAGAACCCTGGGACTCAGGTTGGACACCACTGTTTGCATATTGGGTCATTAGCATAACAGTTAACCCATTGAAGACGCTGCAGTATCCATGAGTAGGAAATAGAGAGTTGAAAGAGCTAGTTACCCTGAGTATAAACTATGCATTTTTTCACTCTCCCGCATAAGCAAAAATTTAAGGGACTGGTCAAAAAGTATGGGGGGTGGGCCGGAGCAGAGAGGGGTGGGTCATGAGGTTTTGAGCCTTGTGCAAGGGGTGGGTCGTGCAATTTGCGGCTACCCTTAGGGGGTGGGTCACCCTATTTTATTACATAGATAAGCACTAACTACTAACGAGACAGTTGACCACACTTGTTATATAAAACACAGCCAGCTGGAATTATTGCTAAAATACTCACAAACCTGTGGTGTGAGAAAATGCAACGGGTGACGGGCCGCTCATCCCGTGAACCCTTTGTTAACCTTTTTTTTTTGGCTCTAACGAGCATGTCCTTTAATGATTTTCCTTTTTTGTAAGGACATGATTGGTGGTTCTTTAAAAATTTATTAAAGTTATGGTTGGATTTGTATAAGATTCCATTTTTATTATTCAAGCCATTCCTTTATAGTAGACACTGAGGGTTGGTATTGTGTCACAAATGGCAATAAATCTTTTTCCTCCTTGTAGGTTTTGTTTTAGGAGTTTAGACTCGTTTTTGTGAATTTTATTTCTGATAGTAGGTGTTCTATCAAAGTTTGTGGGTAGCCTCCGTCCATCAAGCGTTTTTTGAATGATTTTCCTCAAAGGTTGTTTCTGAGGAGTTTTTTTGTACGATTCTCAAGGCTTCTCCTTTGACAAATCCTTTTTTAACACTTGGAGGGTGACACGAGGTGAAATGTGTGTGCAAGAAGGTTTCCGTTTGTTTAAAATGTGTCTTTGCATCAAGGATAGATTTTTTCTTGAATCTTGTGCCTTTGTATACAACCGTGTCTAAAAACGCTGCATCTCAGTGTCAAATGTTTCGGCCATGAATTTAATAGTTGGGTGATGTAAGTTTGCTTGTTCAATGAAGGCTTCGATGTCTGGTTTACTCATGTCCCATAGGGAAAAGATATCGTGTATGTAGCGTTTCCAAACTGTTGTTCTAAAGACAGTTTTGCTTAGAGTTGTTGTTTCAATGTATGTCATGAAAATATTGGCAAAGGAATCAAAACTGCTGTCTTTGTGCCCATTACAGTTCCATGGTTTTGTAGGTAGTGCTTTCCGTTGAAGTGGAAGAAATTTTCTTTGAGGATTAATCTAAGAATTTCCGGCAAGTAATGCGTAGGGATGGGTTATTTTTGTAGAAATTTTCATATGCGTTGTGACAGACAATTTCAATATACCGTCGTTTTGCTGTATATTTGTGTCAAGACTCATAACGTCCATCGAAACAAGAAATGTTCGGTTTTTCACATTTGCCTTTTCAGTGAAAGGTATAATTTCTGTGATTTTGATATTGGTTGTAGCATTGTATCAACAAATTTTGTCAAGCACAGAACAAGCTTAGGCCATCCTCTTTTTTTTCTCCGTTTACCGTCGTCCGACCGACCCAAATTTTTGGCACTTTTTTAAAAAAATTAACGACATAGTTACACCATTTTTCACTTGAAATAATTCTTTTAATCTGAAAAATGAGCATAGTAACAGCACAGAGAAAAACAAGAACACAAACATGAACATTTTTCACAGTATATTTTACATTTTGTTAATCCAAATGTGTGAATGTTAACTTTTAACGTTGTCCTGGGGTACCAGGGCCTACTATTCTGAGACTTCTTGTGATTTTTTTTAAAGTTTCTTTTTTTTTTTTCAATCCGACCGACCGACCCAATATCAGGAAACGCTTTCGACGTTAAACGAAGAGAAAAAAGG